CCATCCGTGCACAGGCCCGTGGGGCCTGCCTGCCCCTGCGGCCACGGCCTGTAAAGCCTCCTGCGTCTTTTCTTCCTCCTCGCGTCGGGGCAGAGGGAACGCTGGGCGGCCCACACAAAGCTGAATGCGGCCCTGTGAGCAGCGGGCGGCGGTGGAGCTGGCTCAGTGTTGGGTATTGCAGCGCAACAGTGGATTTTCAAAGGGAAAAAATACCGGGGCGTTTGGGGCATTCTGGAAGCATGTGGTGTGCATTAAAGTGTGTTTCCCATATGCTTCAAGGGCTATTTTTGGCCATCGTTTTTGATTTAGTGATAAACAGCGTGGCAGTGCTCTTAAGCTAAGAAGCTAAGCAACTCCCAAGTTCAAACAAATGAGTTTTGCCTTCGTGAGTTCTGTACCCTGAGCCAAAACTGAAGGCCTTAGCTGTGTTTTTAATACGTTCGTTTTAAGATGTTCGTAATATTTTGTGCTCCTATAGATGTGCGTCAGCTTTCAGTGATATGCTGTGATTTTTGCCTTTGGGTTTTTCACGAAGCTTTATTTTACAGGATTTACAACGTTTACACTTCTGACTTCGAAAGAGAAGTTGTTCTGCAGAAATGTCAAAGATTGAGAAAATGAGTATCCTTGGAGTGAGGAGTTTTGGGGTAGAGGATAAAGACAAACAAATTATCACTTTCTTTAATCCATTAACTATTTTGGTGGGACCAAATGGTGCAGGAAAAACGGTAAGGCTTATTACAGGTTTGGTTTTGCACTGTAAATAGCTCTGAAAGGCCTCAAAATATGAATAATGATCTCAAGTTGATCTCAGTATTGCTAATGTTGCAAAATCAATCACATAATGTCAATGTTGATAATGTTGCAAAAATCTGCCATTTACTGTAAATATGGTGGTGTTTGGCATTATTAGAGATCTGCTTTTATGCCTGGATTTTGCAGTGCACCAGCTGATACTTTTCATAGGAAAGTGATCCAGATCCTGATTAAAACCAATTTTGGAAAAAAGCGTATTCTCATGATACTCCAAAAACTAAAATGTGATTTCTTATTTCTCTCTCCTCACATACTTAACTATTTGTAAATATTTGGGCTGTTACTGTGTTTTTGCCTGTAGTCCATCTTGTTTACTCTAAATTGCCATTATATAGCAATTATAACTATATTCTTCTCTTCTCTTAGACTATCATTGAATGTCTTAAATATATATCCACTGGAGATTTTCCTCCTGGCACCAAAGGAAACTCATTTGTTCACGATCCGAAGGTAAAAGTCGTAATGACTAGATTTAATGTGTTTACTGCTAAGTCAAATACTTAACTGCACTCAGTGTTGTGATGAAAACAGGCAGGGATGCCTGAGTTCTAGGCAGATGGGAGCTGACCATATTGTTTCAGGAAAAACAAGAGAGCTGGGGGAGATTAGAACATTACCCACAGCTGGGAAGGCATGTATTCATTTGGATGTTGAGAAGAATTTCCCTTACTCAGTTTTTTTGTTTCTACTAAAGGTTGCCAATGAAACAGATGTTAGAGCTCAGATTCGATTACAGTTTAGAGATGTAAACGGAGAGCTTGTAGCTGTGCAGCGATCCATGGTCTGTACCCAGAAAGGCAAGAAAACAGAATTTAAAACACTTGAAGGCATCATTACTAGAACAAAGTAAGTTGTCAAGTTTTTTTTCTTACTTTGGCATGAAGATTGGCTTGGGTTTTGTATATTTTTGTGTATAAGACAAGAGAAAACTTCATAATGTATTCCTTGAAGTAGCTACCGGTGCTCCTAGATTAAAGCTATGTAGTTTCATCGCATTACTTATTAGTTGATTGAAAAATCCTCCATTTGATAGCCACTACTTTAAGAACGACTTATATTTATTAACTTGCATTTATTTGAAAATTGTGTTAATAATGATGCAGTTTGAAAGTAGCATTGTGTGGAGTATGTAGGCTTTACTTCCTTTAGCACCATTTTCAGTTTGAGATAGTTGTTGGCCTGTGTTTAACTCCCATCTCCACTATTTAAGATGTGTATTCACTTAACTTCATTCCAGGTCGTTTTTGCTCCCTCTGGTGGTTCTGCATAGTTTTAAAATGTGTAATAGTTTTGACTACAAATAAGAATAGTGTTAAGTGCATGTGTTGAACGTGGTAATTATATGCTTTAAAATTGTTACTTCTGAAGGTTTTGAATCGGTACGTTGCAATGAGGTTATACTGTTAAAAATGCCGTTTACTTTTTTAAAAGAGTTTGCTAGTAACTTCTTTGTGGATTTTCTTTCTCTGTGCTACATAGGCATGGCGAGAAGGTCAGTCTGAGTTCCAAGTGTGCAGAAATCGATCGAGAGATGATCAGTGCCCTTGGTGTTTCCAAATCGGTGATTAACAATGTCATCTTCTGCCACCAAGAAGAATCCAACTGGCCATTAAGTGAAGGGAAGGCCCTGAAACAAAAATTTGATGAGATCTTTTCAGCAACAAGGTTTTTCTTTTTACTGTAATTAAATAAAAACTAAGTAAGGAAATGTCTCTCTAATAATAGGTGTCAATGAAAATGTCTAAGGCTTTGTTTCATACATCACTATTGCTATATTGCCAATAGGATCTGAAATTTTGTCTTTTTTTAAAGGTATATTAAAGCACTCGAAACTCTCCGTCAGGTACGACTGAAACAAAGCTTGAAAGTAAAAGAGTGTCAGACAGAACTGAAATATCTAAAACAGAATAAAGAAAAAGCACAGGAAATCCAGGATCATCTTAGCAATAGAGAGGCTCAACTGGCTGCTTCTAAGGAGAACATAAAATCAATTGAGAGTCAACTTGATCCTCTAAAGGTAATGGGTATGATTATGTTAACGACTTCTGTACAAAACAATATGTAAATACTAAAGAACACAGCAAAATCTGAAAGCTGGATGAATTTCTTGATTAAAATCTTACACTTTTATGTTGTGTTTTCTGATCCTTTTCTCTGAAGCAGAATGAAGCATACCTCAACAAACCTGGCAGATGCTGATCTAATGTGTAAACAGTCATTGGAGGTTTAAGAACATAGTTTGTGAAATTCTCATAGCAGCATTGGTTTTTTGTAGCTTAATTTAAAATCTTTCTGTCTCAAATTTAGCTGGTAACTAAAATTATTATAAACTAGAACAAAACCAAAAGCTGAACTAAAACTTAAAAACCCCTATTTTTTCAAAACACTTTATAAAGCTGAAGATTTTACACTTAGACTACTATATTATATAGAACAATTGATTATGGGATTTATAAGCTGGTGAGATATTTTGCTTATGGCATTCTTTCCTTTGCAGAGTTCTCTGGCAGCAGTTGAACAGAATCTTATAAAAGTAATGAGGCTAGACAACGATGTAAAGGCCCTGGAGAGCAGGAGGCGGCAGATGGAGAAAGATAATCAAGATTTGCAACAGAAGATGGAAAAGGTTGTCTTTTAAATTCCATGCTGCCATCCTTTATGCTGAAGTATCAGTCAGTCTACCCGGTGAACTAAGTATATATTTTATTATGCATCAGATGTTGGTGAAGAACATTTTCATAGTCCATGTAGCTCACTTGATATTATCAGATATTGCAAATATGGCTCAATAAAACTGTATTAGTTTCTGTGTAATTTGGGTTAAATTGCTTTTTGTACCTTTTCCTTCCACCATAGATTAGCTTGCCAGGAAGGCAAATACTGACAAAAGTTTTCATAAAAGTGATAATTACTGGTAACAACGCCCTGCATGGTGTAACTTGAAAATATCTACCTCTCACCATATGTTGATGATAGCCAGCACTTGTTTTGACCAGTATGGCATGGCTCCTGACGTTAATATTATTCATCTCCCTGGGCTTTTTTATTTCTGTCTCTTAAAATAAGAAGGCATAATTGTCAGTCTTCTGCTGTGATTGTGACAAGGCATTTAAAACTATTGTGAAAAATGGAAAGAAATTTCTTAGTGCTAAAAAATTAGATTAATTTGTTTTATCAGCCTAAGAAAAATAGATTTTCCAGTTTTGCTTGTAGCATTTTTAATTTTTCTTCATGTCTTAATATAGAAATTCTGAGGGGGGAGGTATTTATGTCATTTCTTGAATTCTGTTATGGTAAAAACTATACTTTTTAAAAACATAAATTGGCTTATAAATTTAGTCAAAAAGCTGACTTTATTCTGTATTGTATTTGGTGTACAGGTTTTTCAAGGAACAGATGAACAACTAAGGGATAGATACCAGAACCATCAGAGAACAGTGAAGGAGAAGGAGAAGAGATTATCAGACTGTAAGCGTGAATTAGATAGAGCCACTAAAGAATGCCAGAGATTTAACAGTGAGAAATCAGAACTACTTATTGAACGAGGTATTTTAGACTTCATCTATAACCTTGTATTTCTTTTTTAATGTAATTAAGAACTGAAATGGAACTACTAATAAGAATTGAAGGGATTTGAACTGGGCAAAACCCCTAGAATGCATATGAGTTTGCAGTCAACTGCACAGTATGGTATGAGACTCTCACAGGTGGACAGGTCTTAGCGTTTCTTTCCTGGAGTTTCTCATGTGCACTTGTTTTGAGCTATAATTAGAATGTGTAGTACCTTAATGTTCTTAAATGGACCATTCTTTATAAAAATATTCCATGTAAATAATATATGGTGGCATAGATCAATGTCAGCAGTTCACAGCACGGTTGTTTTCACTGTCTGAGCTTGTACTTTCTTTAGGTGATGAACATGGCTGCTAACCAGATGTGATTGTATAAGTGTGTTTTAACCAAGAAAAACGCGAAAGCTGAATGCTTGCTGCACGCTCAGTGTCTCAGTCGGGGCTGGGGACTAGTCAGAGGGCTTTAGGATAATATTCTTTCATATATCGTTTAATCTTTTTTAGATGGACTATGGGAATTTCAGTAAAGCTGTAGTAGCTGAGACAAAATACATGCTTACGTAAAATATGTTTGGGCTTTGTTTGTTTAACAGGATAATATTTTTGGTGTTTTAAGGTAACCTCTTAAATTCTTGGTTTATTTAATTAATAAGAATTTAGTTACCTGAAATAGCAATCCTTCGAGCTACAGCTTGTTTTTACTCTGGAGCTTTTTATGTTGTTTAAAAATATTTCCGTTTCAAAGACTTTAAGAAAATAGTTGCAACTTACTTGGAATCCTAAATGTATCTCTGCCTCAGTTTTTGAGCGCTTATGTCACGTTTTATTTTTGTGAAGGTCGTCTGCAACTGCAAGCAGATCGTCACCAAGAACACATCACAACAAGGGATTCGTTAATTCAGTCTTTGGCAGCACAGCTGGAATTAGATGGTTTTGAGCGAACACCTTTTAATGAAAGGCACATTACCAGTTTTCACAGGTTGTTGAAGGAGCGACAAGAAAGAGATGCAGAAGCTGCAAATCATCTGATGGTAAGAATTTTATTGTTTTAGTAGTGCAGTCAGTATGGGTTATTAGTGTGTTATTGGTCCATATGTGTCTTCATGGTGCTGGGAGGAAGAGGAAAAATGTTGGGGAGGGAGGAAGTGAAGCCATTTTTTTTTCTTCTAGAATTCTTTATTGTGGGTTGCCTGAATCTTTCCATAAAAATTAGTTTTGGAACTAAGATTGGGCATCAAGTGATCTGAACTGCCAAAGCTATTGAACAGGCAGTTCTTCAGACAGGTTTTTCTCAGCAGCCGTCTCATGCAAGTGGATCACTGACAAACTAAAAAGCCTGAGGAAGAATTAGAATAGGCGACTGGTTTAAAAATAAGTAACTTTTTGTTAAGTCATCTTCAAAATGGAGTTGCTCTCCCAGAACACTACCGGTATGATGCATCTGCATTTTGTTACTGAAACATTTCAGCAGAAAATCTCTGACAAGTTCTAGTTATCTAGGTATTTCAATGTCCTGTATTACAGTGGTGAATATTTGCAAGCTAGTGTGAAGAAGTGTTTTTAAATGTTGTTTTCCTATTAAAAAAATAATGAGTATATTATTGCGGACTTCTTTCAGAGAGAATTTGCACGAAAAGAAGCAATGAAACAAAAACAGATAGATGAAATAAGAGACAAGAAAACTGGATTAGAAAGAACCATTGACCTGAAATCAGACATTCAAAATAAGAAACAAGTTGAGCTGAAGAATGTAAAACATGAGTTGCAGGAGTTGGAGGGGTTTTCAGACAGGATTCTGGAGTTGGATCAGGAGATTGTCAAGACAGTAAGTTAATCTAATTTAAAAATTTAGAGAAGTTTGAAGTAAAAACTTTTGGCTTTATCATTAAAAGCAAGCAAACAAACAAACAAAAACAACAATTGATGTTTATTACGTCTCCTGCATTTCAGCCTTTTAATACCCTCTCTATGCTTTGTCAGTTTAGATGGTGTGCCCTTTGGGGCACGGACTACTCAATGCTTTGTTTTTGTACAGTGCAGGCATGGAATATACTGCTCCTGCTTGGTGAGTTGTAAGTAGGGTAATAGCCACAGCTGGTGATGTCGTAAGATTAGTCAGTCTTAAATTATTGGGCCAGTAAAATATGACCTAAAGTGCTACACTACCTGGATTTTTCCACGTAACTTGTCTGTGAGATGGGCTAGTTGGTTATAAGTGTTCTATGTGATCAAGTATTAAAAAGTTACAAGCATTTTATGTCCCAGTTGAACAGCTGGTTATATTTTATGATTGTTGGCAGTGTATGAATTCAGTGCTTGACAGTGTTTTTTCTAGCCTCCTCACTAGGATAATTCCAAGTTTAATGTACTGTAGATGCTAAAATACAGAGAATCAACTAAATATGTGTGGTGGGTTGACCCTGGCTGGATG